TCCACAGGGAGTCAGAACGTGTGTCTGAAGCGTTACAGCATCTCTTAACAACATGCCACTGAAATACAATTCATAAATTACTAATGCCAGCAATGCTTGTTCTCCTAGTGCTCCGTTCTCATTTTTCAAGCGCTGGATTCATGAGCAGGTCATAAATAAAGTTGACAGCATGAAATGCATCAGAGTTTACAGTACATGACCCCTGTACAGTGACCCCAAAACACATTCAAAATGTGTGAATGTCATTGCATTAGATACAAAATATCTATGCCAGTCATTTACTGTAAAAAAAGATGCACAAACACACTTTGCAATCAAAACATTTGAGAAAAAGAAGTCTGCTAGTTACAAATGCTAAAATACAATAGATTGAATATGAATATCATTTATAAGTGTCCAGATAGTTATGGGCCACTCTGTGTTTTATGACAAACACTAAATGCATCTTCACTAAGGTTATTATTGTTAAATAAAATTAAACCAAAACATTTTTGTTAATTGAAATAAAGCTAAAATATAATAGAATTAAAATATAAATATAAATATTAAATGAAAAACTTTAAATAAATAAATAAAAACTTTAAATAAATGCTAAATTAAAACTGAAATACACAATAAATTAAACATGAATAGTATTATTTTAAAAAATACTAATAAAAATGACAAAATCACATAAAATTACCAAAAAAGTTATTAAAATTTAAAATGAAAACTTAGAATAAAATAAATAAAATATAAGTATTAATGAAAAACTTAAAACTAAATGAAAATGGGAAATGTTGTATTGGCAACTAAATGAAATAAGTTTAATTCGAAGTACTAAAATTACTAACTGAAAATAAATAAAAACTAAAACTAAATGGAATCTGAAATACAAAATAAATGAAACCTCAATAGTATTATTTTTAAAAAAAAGCTATTAAATATGACAAATCACATACAATTACTAAAAATGCAAATATAATTTAAATGAAACTTCAAAATATAAAAATAACATATAATTCTAAATATTCATAAAAATTATAAAAGTGTATAAATAGTACTAAAATAACAGATCTTCACTGGGGGAAAAAATGGTGTAGGATTTACTTTGAAACAATTTCCATTCAGAAATTGCTAGTAAGTTTCTCAAATAATTATAAAGAAATGGTAACACATTGAAATAAATGTGACATTTTGAAATCAAAAGCCTAAAATAGTATTTTCTTGTAAAACATACTTCAATAATCTATTTACAACTTCAAAAAAAATTTTTTTTTTAAGCATTCATGCTCCTATAATAATAATAATTTCTATCTGCTTTTATATGTTCTTATTCATCATGCACATTCTGGTTTTGTGGTGAGTAAAGTGTGAAACAGTGACTGTGCTGTGTGTGTCTGTGTCAAGCGCTCGCGGCAGTCAAAGCGGCGCAGAGGAAAGTGACTCTGGAGGGTCACTGGAGCCGCGCTGATGCCGCCGGGGCCCGTCTGACACATTTGCTCTAGAAGATTCTTTCCTGCTGTGTGAAACGTGAGCCGTCGGCCGCCGCGAGACCTTCTCTGAGCGATGATGTGGGACACTTCTGACTGTTCAGCACCTGCTGTCCGCTCGCTCATGTGGGAGCTGGTGTGGTCATGGCAGATGCATTTACTCAAAGTCTGAAGATTTTTCTAAAGATCGTTTTTCACAATGTTCGATTCATGAATTATTTCTTCCAGTAGGTTAATGGAGTGTGCTGTGATCATTTGCAATCACTCTTGTGCTATCGTCACATCCGAAAAGTCATCGAAAGACAAATAGGTGCAATTGTTCAACTGCTTCTGACGTGCAGTTCAACGACTAGATGATATACAATCAATCTGGTCTTGATAAAACACATCTCTGTTTTAGTCGAAATGCCTGAAGAGTCTAAAAACAGCCATTGATATGTGATTGACCTGAATAAGGAGCGTTCATTCATTTGCACGTTCTTTCTTCTCTGTGATGGATGTTAAAAAATCACTTTCAAATAAGACAAGTAAGAATGGTGTTTGCAAAGTGAGTTTAAAGACCGTTTAACCGTTAAAAGAAAAGATTTGTTCTTAATACAATAGAAAAGATTTCATTGAGGAAACTTGAAGACTGTGATATACTCTTACCCATAAAACAAATATATTAATTTTTATATGCATAGTTCATAATGTTCATAATATTACATATTTTATAGATTTTTGCCATTTTGCATTTTGTCATTACTGTAATGCAAAAAAAAAAATTAAAAAAAAAAATAAAGTAAATTGTAACATTTATCTATATAGTATTTGTTTTAATGCATTTAATATTAATGTTGTTTTATATATATATATATATATATATATATATAATGTTTTATTATTATATAACATTTTTAATTTTTAAATACA